GTCCTCAGCGGGAGAGTCCACCAAGGTGGCAGCGGCCTGCAAGGTAGAGACCGGGAAGCGACAGGCCTGTCCTGGGGCCACGGCGCCTCCTCGCTCCCAGGCTCCTGTGGTGGGGGGGGAGGCGTCCCCACCACCCCACTGCCGCACCCCACACCCTCATGGAAGTTTCACTTCCCTGTCCTGTCCCCCTACCGCGTCCGCATCAGCCCTGCCTGAGGCTACACTTGAGTGCCCACTGTGTGCCTCTGGGGAGGGACCCAAGGAGCCTCCCCTGGATCCCCGACCGGCCAAGCAGCCTCCCCCGACCCACCCCCCGACCACCCGCATGTAGATGGCTCTGACTCTGTGCATTCTGGCCGGAAAGGGTTCCTCGCGGTTCTGCAGAGAAGGGAGCAGACACCACAGAAGTCCAGGGACTGGCCGGCAGCCCGCATCCACCAGCTGTCCACCGTCCGCCCCCCCCCCGGCCCCCCCCATTCCCCTCTGCATCCATCACTACCCACATAGGAGGCGCTGCCCCTGTGCAGTCTGGCTTGGGAGGGGTTCCCATGGGCCCATTGGGAATGGGAGTAAACAAGGAACCAGCTCGCCGAGGCTCTGGGGGTGAAGTGGCAGAGATGTGCATAATTAGGTTCCTGTAGTATGCACCTGCAAAAAGGCGGGGTTGAGGGTGGTGCCCAGAATTGTGTGTGAGGACTTTTAACCACGTGCAGCCCTCACACCAGGGGGCTGCAGCCAGAGGGCCTAGAGAAAAGCAAAGGTCGTGCATAGATTAAGTGCCTACTGTTTACACGCGTGTGCCCATCTGTTCATGCAGAACTGAGATTTAGGGAGGTTTAGCAACACCACTGGTCCCCTGGGTGGTGATGCAAGCAGTTGGCGCTAGACTCCTAACCTAAAGGTTGGCAACTTGAACCTACCCAGTAGTGCCGTGAAAGAAAGACCTGGTAATCTTGCTTCCATCAAGATTACATCCAAGGAGGGGTTGGGGAATGGTTGCCACCAAGAAAACCATGGCGAAGCTGTATTTCCACTGTGCTGCTCTGCTGTGATGCTGGGCCCCCTCTGCCTGTCCCTGCTGCAGCTTGGCCTGCCTGAACCCTGAGGGTGGAGGGAAGGGGTGTTCCCGGAGGTGGCCTATATTATAACACATGGGTTTACTGTAACTCTACAGCCACTGGTTTGGAGCTTTAGGGGGCAGGAGCACAGAAGGCCTCCGAGTTCCCCCAGCTAGGTCTGGAAGGAGGGCATGGGATAGAGCCACCTGTTTGCCGCTCCCTTTCCACATGGGAACCAAGTGGGCTCAGAGAAGGAAGGGGCCACCCTGAGCTCTTCCACCTCATGCCCTCTGCTCCCTGTAGGCTGGCGTCCTGTGCCCAAAGGTGCCCACCAAGAACCCTGACGCACCGCCTGTCAGCGTCAGTCTCTACTATGAGTCTCTGTGCGGTGGCTGC